GAATTGCTGGGGAATAGAGTAAATGCCTGATGAAGCAATTTTGATTTTGTTTTCTTGCATAGTAGCTTTTATGAAGAGTGAGGGGTTAGGGCAGGATGAAGGGGAGGTGGAAGATCCAGAACAGTTGCAAGGTAGGGAAAGGCAGTGGGAAGCATAGATGTCTTCCATTACTACAGTTCATAGGGCCACCTAAATACAATTTCCAGTGTTTTCTTGATACTGTCAGGTATTAATAGTGACTCTGTAAATAAAGCCATGGAATGAGAATATGGCATATATATATAAAATTAGCAGAAAAGTCCAACCAGTGAATGACAGAGTCAAAGCAGAGAGATGTCCCTCTGGAAAGAAAAATGTCTTCTTTAAGAAAGAAAATAAAGAAAAAGTAATGCTTCTCCTGACCCTGAATCTATTTTCTGTATATTTTTTCAAAACCATTTTAAAGCCCTTCAGATCCTGCCACCTTAGCTGCTGAGATATCATCTTTTACATTTCACCCAGTGAGTAAACTCTGGAAAGCCTAACTCTCTTTTATCCCACCATGTAATCTGATCCACCTATCATCATCAGGGGACATCTGGGATCCATCTTATCTTTCCCACTGGCTAGTTGATTAACCAGAAAGTGTTTTGAATTGGATTCATATATGGCAGAACTCCACGGACTTTATGAATTATAATGGAAGCAAATAAAAGGTCAGATTTTATTTCTGTGCTTTTAAAAAAGAAAATTCTGTTACTGTTCAGATTGAGTGCTTAAAAATTGGAGAGAAAACCTATTATATTGTATTAATGGCTAAATACAGTAAATTCATGGGATCATCTGACTATTTAAATAAAATATAGTTTTTCAGAGTGAGGAAATCCTAACTCAGTAACCTGACACAGAGTTGTTAATCCACAGGCATATTGCAGTTAGAAAGAGACAGAAGGCCAGGGAAAGTGTTAGATTGCTCATTCTTGCTCCATTTCTACTTGATGGTGTTTCTGGAGACATATGAGAGGCTGGAAGTTGAGGATCTTTAATCGGGTGCATCCTTCGACACCATGTTTTTGGCCAGGTTCTTGGTGGAGGATGTGTTTAGTTCAAATAGCCACTAGACTTTTCAATAATTTTAATTGTTTCATCATTAGTACCTATGATCCAGGTTCGATTCATATATATAAATATATGGAATATATATTCTATATTTGAATTCATTTGTTTTCTTCTTTTAATTATCTCCATTGAAAATTCATGATTCCTACTCCTAAGCTTTTATGAGAACCAAAATCACATAGTATATATCCAGTACATTCAACATTCAGTGTAACCCAAGGAAAACCACATCTCATGGGCAGAACTGATGACATATCATGTCATAAAGCATCTCTCCAGAAGCTGATATTTCACAGATGATGCCCAGGATAAGACGTTAAATACTTTTCAAAGCTATTAAGGCATCGGTTTCTAAATCTTACTTTTAGGAAGATTAGAAAAGATAGTGGTCTCATGGACTAAATTATAATTAAAAACTAAAAACCTTTTGTCCATGGTGAATCTCTGTATAAATGAGAACTGTTCTGTTGTAATTATTATGATCATACTGGTGGGACAAGAGACTATGATGACTGCTTGAGTTTCCACTCTGCAGCTGGGTGATACAGATGTATCAGGGGTTCAGTGAGGGTCTTGAACTATGCTTGAGATGTTTTGGGTTCAACAAAGAAGCTTTTGCCAAATCCTTCTTCCCTTAATTTTTAAACATGTGTATTTCAAGGGAAATTTGATTCATATGTTTCTGATTCATTTACACTTAAATCATCAAAATGTTATTTTGTAAGAGCTATTTGATGTCCAAGAAGCTTTCTGAACCTGTTTTATAAGTCCTCTTAAGTCCTTTTTCTTAAAACAGGAAGTTGCATTTTGCCAAGTACAAATAAACTGAAACATTAAAAAGGTTCAAGTTCAGTTTCCAACTCTGAATTCTGGGTTTTAAGTGCATTCTCAATTTAGCAAAATATATTTTCCCACCCCTGCAAAAATATGGGTTGAATAAAAGATAGTAATGATAAAAGTGAGTAAAGGTATTCACAAGCATTATTATTTTTAGAGACCTTTCTCCCATTATGAAAGTTCATGAAACCTGTAACAGGTTACTCTCAGAGCTATTTGAAGCAGGTGAATTGCGAACAGGAACATATGTGCTCATGGGCTCTCTATGTTTCCTGTTTTTGTCACAGAAAAAAAACCCCTGTTTTGTCACAGAAAAAAAAGTGTTAATACTTTACCTTTTTACTTATTTTAACTTTGAATGCCTTGGAGTCTTATTTATTTTAGTAAAGATGGGAAGACTCAACACAGTTTGTTGAATAGAAGAGACTCTGCAGTTTTAGGTCTGTACTAAGACTATGTAACATCAATTTAAAAACATAACTGACACTTTTCTTGGAATTGGATAAATGCAGAAAATTATATCTGGTTCATACTAAGAGGTCTCTTAATTATGTATTACCCTTATTACTTTTCATGCAGAGGTGATTCAGCTTGACCCTGTAATTCCCTTACAGCTGATTCACTTTTATTTCTAGAAAAAGGAGGTAAAAATTACGAGAGGGGTTGGGGACCGTTCTAAACAATTTCCTCAGTGTTCTGCTTTCTTGAGTCCGCTTCAATATTTCTTTTGTACCACTGAGAAAGCAAGCGACTCTTGAGATAATAGGTAGTTTGCAACTGAAAACACTATTTAAACATTATTAATTAAACTATCAGTACTGCTGTGGAAGCTCCCATGCAGTGGCAGCCAGGGAAACTTGTTGATTGTAGAGAGTAGGTTTTACTTACAATCTCTGTTGTGTCTCAAATGGGGGAAATTTAGGAAAAGGATGTGTAGATTGGTGGGCAGTGTTCAGCCATAGGATTATGTCAGGACAGAAGTGAGTGAGGTCTAAGCAGAGACTGAAAGGAGCTAGCGTTAAAGCATGTAGGTTCAGATACTTTGTGTTAACATCCTACAATTTACCTGTTGTGTGATTCATAGTATAGTTTTGCAATGTGTGGTTTTTGTTTTATTTCTCATGACGAACAACCAAATATCACAACAAAGTATAACACATGCTTACTGATTAATTCATAGACCTTTAAAAGGTTTTAAACTATAGCCTTTCATGTATGAAATTGATAAGTAATGAATTTTGGGGTGCCTGGGTGACTCAGTCGGTTAAGCATCAGACGCTTGATTTCTGCTCAGGTCATGATCTCACGGTCTTGAGATCAAGTTTGTGAGGGGCTCCGAGCTGTGCATGGAGCCTCTTCCAGATTCTCTGTCTCCTCCCCCGCTCACACATGCATGCTCTGTCTCTCTCTCATTCTTTCTCTCTAAAAGAATATTAGTAATAATAAGTAATGAATTTTAATTATACTTTTTTTCAGACAATATTTGAAATCCCTTAAGCCTTGTTGGGTACTCATGTATCTATACCTGTGTTATGTAAATTATTTTTCCTTTCATACTATGTTTTCTTCACTCCAACAGCACATCTGATACTATCAGTAAAGTACCTTTGAGGTTTTATATTGTATTTTAAGCTATTTTATGTTCATCTTAAATAAACATTTAATTGTTTATATACCATCTTGCCCGGAAAGAATTTATGCTTCCCCAAATATTAAAATCTTATATGCTACTCAATAGTACCACTAAAGTTTGAAAAAAAGAATCAGGAATTCCATTTTATAAAATAGAGTAATGCTATTCTCACAATGCTTCTTTAAAGAGAAGGAACCCTTGTATAAGAAGAACCCTCAGAAATGATCACGTAGGAAGTAGGACCTCCTAAAGCCTGCATGCAAACCCCTAATTGAGATTTTAAAAATTATAGTAAAGTCCTTTCAACAAATGGATATTCTATAATCTTCCATAGTAAATCCTAATCAGAATGCATGTGGAATAAAATAAATCTATCTGAAAGCCTTTCCGAGGGACAGGTGGTACTTGCCTTTTTAAGGTTGAATCTTGTTTCCTTTTACTAAAGAGTATCGTGTTTTAGAGAGTAAGCATCATGAGTTATAGTTTTAATTTTAAAATGCCCTTTATAAAGTATACATTTAAAATATTCTTATTTTCCATTGTTCTCTGCCAATGTGATTTAAAATTCAAATTCAGAGGATCTCATAATTCTCCAGCTTTTTCTCTTCAGCAGCTTCACTGAATAATCATAGTAATAGCTACCACGTACAGTCTTCCATGTGCCAGTATTTGGCTGACATAAGCCCATGAAATTCTCACAGTGACTTTGAGAGCTGAGTATTATTGCTTCTGTTCTAAACAAAAGGAAACCTGGACTCAGAGAGACCCACTGTATCACAGCCATGCTCGCGTCCAAGAAGCCCATACCTTTCCACTCTGCCGTGTTGCCTTAAGCTAAGGAAATTCAGGCATCAACGCTCTTCTCTCTTTTTTGTTCCCCATATTTAATTCTAGATACTGTGCACCCTACATTTTAGAAAAACTCACAAACAGTCCCACAAAAATTTTCAAATGAAATTATTACAACTTTGTGCAGGGAGTTGCTATAGTGTTGCCATAGCTTTCGTTATTAGAACTGAAAGCAACAGACATGTGTTTCAACTAACCCACTGACTTCAGTAAGTTTTACTGAAGTTACAGGGAAACTGAAATAGTATTACATTGTGGAGGGATCCATGGACCAAGCAACATCTTTCAGAAAATATATGTCGAGGTGACTATTTCTCGACGAATATCAATCAGATCTACCTCAAGCTGATTACTTTCCCATTTAACTTTAATCCAAAACTATTTCAAGGTGATTACTCGCTCAGATCTTTACATTTTCAGGGCCAAACAATCATGACTCTCAGATGAAATGAGAGTGTCCATCGGGAACAACCAGGACATTTGCTTTGTTTTCTAAGACTTTGACAGACCACATGGCTTCTCCAGTTTTCTGTTTGGGCTGCCCTCATAACCTATTTGTGTCCCTCCTGCCTTTCCTCTCCAGGACTGCCCACCAGAAGCAGGCGATTTCCGAGCTCAGCAATGCTCCGCTCACAATGATGTCAAGCACCATGGCCAGTTTTATGAATGGCTTCCTGTGTCTAATGACCCAGACAACCCCTGTTCACTCAAATGCCAGGCCAAAGGAACAACCCTGGTTGTTGAACTAGCACCTAAAGTCTTAGATGGGACTCGTTGCTACACAGAATCTTTGGATATGTGCATCAGTGGTTTATGCCAAGTAAGTGCTGGCTTCTTCCCATTCTATTTTTCCAGAAAGTTTTAGCATCTCTGTGTAAATAGCTTCTGTATGGTCCTGCTATCTCAATCATTCAATGTTTCCTTTTCTAGAGTTTATAAAGGATGGCAGATTTGAAAATTGAGGTTTAATTTCAGTTAAAACTACAAATGTTGTGTTTGTGTCAACGAAAAGAGAGCTGGCATTGGATGTTTTTTTTCCCCTTGCTTTGAGTCTCAGCTGAATATGAAAGGCTAAAAGCTCTTGGATGTGTGTGTGACTTTTGTATTAGACTCTGAAATTACCTCTACTTTGGTTGTCCCTGAAACGTATTTGTATGTTTATGTGGTGTGTGTGTGTGTGTGTGTGTGTGTGTGTGTGTGTGTGTGTTTGGAGGCATCAATTTTCATCTACTTAGAGCTTTGGAATTACTTGGGTAAGATTAACTCTAAAATCTCCAAGTAAACTCTAGGCAAACTTATTTCTTCATTATTATAACTGTAATTTTTTGAAAGTGCATGCAAACTAATGAAGGGCTTTGACAGTGTGAGCTAGGTCAAATTTCATCCAGGCAAGTCTTTAAAATAGGGATAACAAAGAAGTTAGATTTCTCGTGTCAATTTATCAACTGAGTGGGAGTTAGTAAGAAGAGGGAAAGTTAGTAGTTAAGTTAGTAAAGAATGTTTTCAATGCATCTGCCATCTTTATTTTTTTTTAATTTTTTTTTCAACGTTTATTTATTTTTGGGACAGAGAGAGACAGAGCATGAACGGGGGAGGGGCCGAGAGAGAGGGAGACACAGAATCGGAAACAGGCTCCAGGCTCTGAGCCATCAGCCCAGAGCCTGACGCGGGGCTCGAACTCACGGACCGCGAGATCGTGACCTGGCTGAAGTCGGACGCTCAACCGACTGCGCCACCCAGGCGCCTCTGCCATCTTTATTTTAAAATCTACCCTGGGTTAGGATCACCAGCATAGTTTTTGGAACAAGCAATTGCTATCATTTCTTGTGTGCTATACCTGACCATATACTTTTATATTTCACTAAGTAGACATTTTGAGAATCCTTGCTTCTCCCAAAATAATATTGGTTGAAATTTTTCTCTCTTTGGAGTCTCTAATATAACAGCTAGTAGTGTAAGAAGAATAAGCATAAAATATGTTTCAGTAAATAGTCGCTCCAAATTCACATGTTTGCTGAAAACCTAAACCTATATTCTGATGTAAAAGGAATAACTGTAATTGAATTACTACAAGAAAGGTGAAATGTCGGACATGATTTTCTGCATATGAGAGGGGAGACAGACATGCTAAACCTTCATAAGATCTAGAAGCATAAGACAGGGAAATTGTGGTATGTCCTAGCACTTCTCAGGTAGGAGGATGGAGATGATGTATATATACATGGCTGCAGATTGCTTTATACACAAGAAATATGTGAATTTCAGATACAAATTTGCATATAGAGTCTTACTATTGTAGAGATAGGAAAGGCCTAAGGGATTATTTAATCAATAACCTAAAAGGAGATATTTGAACATTGTTTGTGATATTTAGTGCTTGCTTCCTTCTCTGGGATTTTTACTGATGTTGAAATGGAATTATGAAATCTGTAAAAGCTTTGGGAATGATAGGGAATTGTAAAGCAAATACATAGAGGAAAGAGGTTATGTTGTAAGGAATGGCAAATAAAATAATTTTAATCCCTTCTGTGTGTTTACTATTGGAATAAAGACAGATTTCCATTTGGTAAATGAAAAAAAAGACAGACAAATTATGTGGTTTTCTGAAAGTTACATGATTGATCATGAAATGGGACTAAATTCCATGTCTCCTGACATCTACTGCAAAGCTGTTTGCACTGTCGTACCATGATGAATGGACCAAAATAAATAAGACAGGTCAGCAAAGTAAGTGTCCTTTCTTCCTGTTGCATAGGAGTTTAATGTGGCCTGCCTTTTCTAGACTAATCCTGCCAGCTGGCCTCACATACGTTGGCAACTGAAAGGGAATCCTATCTCAGCAGTGAAAGAATAGATTTTTATAGATATTAAATCTGGAGTGGTAGTGCTGGACATTTGGTTATAAGTATAAACATGCCTCCTTCAATTCTTGGGATTGTGACTTGTTAGATTTGTGGGGGTGCAAATGTAAATTATAGAATATATGAAAAGAGGCAATACCATGGTAAAGGAGGTGAGATAACTCTGATTGCATATAGGCACTAATACATAGTTTGGCTGAAGAGCACAGTACCCCCCAGGAACACAGTAAGAAGACAGGTAGTTTGGGAGAAAACAGTGGATACTTGAATGGCAGATAGGACTATGGCTAACAATGGGTGGCCAGGAAAGAGTTTTAGTGGAGAAAAGACGTAATCATAGTTCTGTTTCAGAAAGATTAATGTAGCTACAGTTGTAGGACTTTGAAGTACAAGGCCTGAGAGCCAAAGAGACCAGCTGAGAGGAGGCTCTTAGAGGAGCCAAGGTGGGGCAAAGTGGGAGCCTGGGCCAGAGCAGTGACAGCAAAGAAATAGCAAGAAAACTACGCCTAAAACCAGGAAAAAAGTTTTCATTTTGATTACAACTAGAGCAAAGGGTAAAAGCAATAAATCAAATTAATCATGCTCAAGGGATCAAAAACTACAACTTAATATGAATTTGTAATGGATATAATTTTGGATCCTTGTTACCATTACCATAATAGCCTGTGTTTTCATGATTAAAATCTACTTGAGTTTTATAAAAAGAGGGAAGGAACAGACAATAGCAAGATCATCGAGGAATAGGGATGGAATGTTTAAATGCAGTGTATAGTTTTTTAGAAGGACAAGAGTAAAGTTAATCACTATAAGAAAATCACTCACTATTACCTCAAAGAGTTTAATACATAAATCCCATTCTACTTAGAAAAAAATCCTTTATTTAGCTTGTATCTGCATATTGATCATTCATATTTTCAGTCTTTAGTAAGAAACATTAAGAAAAAGTCATATTTTCATAATTTTTGAAACTGTCGAAAGTCTCAATGCTAATTTAATGGGAAGTTTTTCACATTCAATAGTTTCTTCTAGTTTCCTGAAAAAAAAATCATCTTCCCTGCCCTATTTTCCCTTCTCTTCCATTTCTACCACATTTGTTAGAGATTCTTAGCTCTTTCTCTGGCTCTGTTTTTGCCTTATTATAACTTTTTCGGCAAACTGTTTCAAGTATTTTTGATGCTAGACAGATATGAATTATAAACTCTAAAGAAACTGACATCCAGCTTTGGAGATAGACTTGTCTTGATAGAAAATGACAGCATAACTATAGAGACTTGTCACCTGTAAGTACGAATTATTTCAGTTTTACCTATTGAATACTCAAGTAAGAACCACATCCTCAAACTGGGCCTTTAACTGTTCAATACAACTATGGAGTCTTAGACATTGGGAGCCAGGAGATAACTTAGAAATCCACAGACAAGGAGAAAAGGAAACTGAGACCTAGAAACTGTCCCAAGGTTGTGAATGAGTGGGTTGTCTATAATTGTTGTGGATTTGCTTCGGGAAAATACTGTAATCATCACCATTTATAATAAATACCTTATTCTTAGAAATGTTAGAGCATTTTATTGGGCAGTATACTCATTCTAGTAATAGTAGTAGTAATATTAATCCTAAGATAACTTCCATTTTTTTGAGAGAGAGTGTGTGTGTGCATGCACATGCTCACAAAAGCAGGGGAGGGTAAGAGAGAGAGAGAGAGAGAGAGAGGGAGGGAGGGAGAGACTCTTAAGCAGGTTCCACACTCAGTGCTGGAAGCTCAACTCGGAGCCAATCTCGTGAGCATGAGATCATGACCTGAACCAAAATCAAGAGTCAGACACTTAACTGACTGAGCCCCATATAGCTTCCATTTTTGAGTGACTACCATACCCAGCCACTTTACGTATAATTTTTTCTCATACAAGTGAACAGCATGGCTTCAAATTTTGTGGGTCCATTGACAAATGGATTTTTTTTGTCAATAAATACATTAGGAAAAAAATTGGAAATTTGCAACAATTTGGAAAAACAGATGAACTGTGTACATTTAGAAATATGGAAAAAATTAAGAAAAGGTTAATTATGTCATGGATACACAAAATGTGTGTAGATTGTAGTCTATTTTATCATTTACTGACTTAAGATACACACCCATCTATTATAAAAAATTAAAATTTATCAAAACTTACATACAAACACAGATTGTGCAATATCTCTTCATTTTTTATGTTGAATGTTAGTAATACCTATATCATCTATGGTGCTTTCTATCAGTAAGCAATATTGATATAGACATTTCATCTTATAAACACATGACATAAACTTGCTGTTTTGATAAATACAGTACAGGGCTAAAAATGTATTTTCCTTATGATTTTCTTAAGATTTTCTTGGTTCTAGCTTACTTTATTAGAAGAACACAGTACATAATATGTATAACACACAACATACTTTTATTCAACTGTTTATGTTATTGGCAAGGCTTCCAGTCAACAGTAGGCTATTAGTAGTTAAGTTTTTTTGGAGAGTCAAAAGTTACATGTGGATTTTCAACCACACAGGGGGGTTGGTAGCTCTAAATCTCAACTTGTTCAAGGGCCAACTGTATTTACAACGCTACTTATTAGGCATCATTCTCTTCATTTCACAGATGAAGGACTGAGGTTCAGTGATAGAACTTGCCCAGAAACACCAAGCTCTGTCTGGTGCTCCTACTCCTTCTGGTGAGGCTGAGTGGACAGAGACAGGAGCCATCTGATGTTCAGGAATGGTTCCCAAATGAGGCTGCATACCAGAATCACTTGCAGAGCTCTTAAAAGATACAACTCTTCGTCCCTGTGCCCCAGAAACTCGGATTTATTAGTTCTCTGTATATAGAACACTCTCCTTATGATCCTGTTGTTTGGTCAGATTTATGAAGCACTTACAGATAGAAAAGCAGACAGGATTTAAGGTCAAAGGCCATGGATTGGAATCT